TACAAAATGAACAAATCTGAGAGAGTCGACATGTAGTACCTATATATGTAATATCAAAGCAATTGGACTTGCGGTTTTCACAAGAAGTCGAAAATATCACTTTTACCAAAATTACAAAAATATTCACCAAGATTAGAGAATTAAAGATATCATTACAAAATGAACAAATCTGAGAGAGGTCCACATGTAGTACCTATATATGTAATATCAAAGCAATTGGACTTGCGGTTTTCAACAAGAAGTCGAAAATATCACTTTTTACCAAAAATTACAAAAATATTCACCAAAATTAGAGAATTGAAGATATCTTTACAAAATGAACAAATCTGAGAGAGGTCGACATGTAGTACCTATATATGTAGTATCAAAGCAATTGGACTTGCGGTTTTCAACAAGAAGTCGAAAATATCACTTTTTACCAAAAATGACAAAAATATTCACCAAAATTAGAGAATTAAAGATATCATTACAAAATGAACAAATCTGAGAGAGGTCCACATGTAGTACCTATATATGTAATATCAAAGCAATTGCACTTGCGGTTTTCAACAAGAAGTCGAAAATATCACTTTTTACTAAAAATGACAAAAATATTCACCAAAATTAGAGAATTGAAGATATCATCATGAAATGAACAAATCTGAGAGAGGTCTACCCAAGATACATATACACCAAGTATCAAAAGCATTCAGGCTTGTAGTTTTCAAGAAGAAGTCGAAAAAGTAAAACATTGACACGGACGACGACGACGGACAATCACTCATATGATAAGCTCCGCTCGACAAAGTCGACAGCGGAGCTAAAAATACATAAAAATGTGCAAAATATGTTGGTGGGGAAAAAAATTATTCTGAAAAGTATGGAAAGAATAGGAATATAAAATAAGGATAGCAAGCATACCAAATAAGGAGAATATCATTCCAAATAAGGACTATAGCACACCCAAATATAGAAAGCAGTGCATTCCATATAAGGAGTGTAGCACACCCAAATATAGAAACTAGTGCATTCCAAATATAACCTTGACACAGAGGTTGCTGTGCTATTTTCTCAAACTAAACAACCAAAAAAAAAACAAATCTTGTTAGAAATAAGAATACAACTTTTGAAAATCACGGTGATAGCAAATGTTATGTTACTACAGTTGTTAGACTTTCGTCTTTTACTAATATGAAATAAAAGAATTTAGCCTTGAGGCAGACGCTTTGTTGTGACAACATAAAGCAACGTTATGATCCCCTCCAGGCTACATGTAAAATATAACCTCACACTGGCAGAGATCTTCGAGCTATATAGATCTGTGTTACACGAAAAGCGTGCGTGTTGCATGGTTTATTGATTTTATACTGAAATAGTGTATGAACCAGCAATTCGTAATTAGGTGATTTAACACGTGCAGCATCCTATGCATAGAAATGGAAATTTGAGAAATTTTACAACTGTGTTTTATTATTCACTTGAATAAGTTTACAGGTAGTTATTGTGATCACAAAGTGAAGCCAACTTTGGCACAACACCAGATACAATGAATCATATGACAGACATTCTGGTGCGTGCAGGAATTGTAGACTCTAATAAAATTGACAAATGAAAAAAAGAAATATTTATTTCTGATTATTTTTTAAATCTTTTCCATTCATAAAAATATATACACCACATTACTTTTGAAGCTTGCTGACTTTGTAGAATCATACGGCTTAATGAATAATAGTTGTTTCCATGGTAACAAGCATGGCGATCATTTGCAACAAGCGTATATGTGATGAAGTATTTATCATTCATTAAAACTTGTTAAAAATATTAATAAATTAAAATTATTATTAGTTATAAGTACAGTCATGTATTTCTATTTTTTATTTAAGGAAGATTTTTAGGAAGGCCCAGGATGTATTATCTTTTATGGAGTCAGAAATATAGGATGTGCAACAATTACAGTAAATATGATTAACTAATAGCTTACCTTTGAGATGTTGATCTTGAATGACTATCTCCATTTCCATGGTTACCAGAACGTGTCAAGAATGTTGATGTGTAAACAGGAACATTGGATTGAATCTGGAAAATAGATAGTATTAAACATACAACATTGCAAGTAATGCATTTTTTATTCTGCTTTCAGTGTCGCAACTTTTAAAATCTGCTGTCAGTGTCACAAATTTCAAAATCTGCTCCCAGTGTCGCAAATTTTAAGGATCCTAATATTTTGGGACATGGTAATGCAAGAATCATTAAATATTTATTGTAAATAACGGAAGCCATGAAATTGAAAGCATATCAAACATGTATTATAAATAAAATAAAAATTACAAAACAAATATTTGCCACACTAACATTAAATCTTACTCACCTGTGGTTTTGATATTCTCTTTTTAAATCGTTGTAACATAGCAGGTGTTATTTCAGTTGACGAAGACATCTTCACTGATATTGGTCTGCTTTTAACAAACCCTGATGATTTGCCATCATGCATCCTGTCTAGTGATGAGCTCCTACTTCTATTCAAAGAGGACACTGACAATGAGGTATTACTTTGTTTTAATCTACTACTAGGACCTAAGGAAGACAAACTCATCTTTGGTGAGGATGGTCGTCTTATTTCAGGTTTCTCCGCTTGGTTTGTTTTCAAATCATTCATCGAGAGTTCTCTGGAACTATTGTAGCTGTCTCCAAGCCTACCTGAATCAGCATAGTAACTGTTATCATAGTGATTTTCCTTCTCCTCGGTATCAAATTTGACTCGTGGGGAGGACAAGCTTCGTCTGTGTAGTGATGATGAGCCACGGGTTGCTGATGGTGGAGAGGTCTCTGATGAACTATGAATGGTGGCTTGAATGTGTGGTGATGAACTACGAGTGGCTGATGGCGGAGTGGTCTGTGTTGAGCTTCGTACAGTGGTTCGACTGTGTGGTGAAGAACTATGGGTGGCTGATGATGGAGAGGTCTGTGTTAGGCTTTGTACGGTGGTTCTGGCACTAACTGGTGATGTTTGAGTCAGACTATGGCTTTTATGACTAACAGAAGTAAATGAAGAAGGGAGGGGAGTTTTAAAATCTTCCTGAACAGTGCTTGGTTCAGCATAACTATGTCTTCGCCAGGCATCCTTTGACCCTTGTGGTCTAGTGAAGGCTGGACTAGAACTTCTTTGTATTGGATATGTCGGACTAGGACTTGGACACCGTCGACTAGTGTAGCTGGTCTTCTGAACAGAGCTAGTGCTTCTCTGGTCAGGGCTGGTGTTCCTTTGGCCAGAGATGACACTTCTTTGCTCAGGGCTTGTGCTACGCTGCAAGCTATGAACAGAATTGGAACTTCTTTGGGAAGTGTAGCTGGAGCTTGGACTACTGTGACTTCCTACAGAAGTATCAAACATGGTAGTGGTTGATCCCCCAGCAGGTTTGACTTTCACACCATAAGACGACAGCCTGGAACCTTCAGGCATCGTAGAGCTTGGTGGCAAACTTCTGCTGTCAACAGGTTGTGCTTGATTCACAGAGGGTACCGAAGATATCCCAAATGCAACAGGTGTCTCAGATTTCATTTCATTATTATCTACGTAGATGGCTCCACTATAAGTCCAGGTCTGCTCTCGCGGTGTCAAGTCATTCGTTGATGCACTCTGTTTGGATTTACTACTGGAACTGTTTCCTGAATGGCTCAGGCCAGGAGAAGACCTGCCTTCGTAATCATTAACATAATTTCCGGAATACAGGTATCCAGGATAGGATGCATTGGAATGAGATTCTAGCTGAGAAGGTTCCCTGTCACGAAGGTTGTTATATTCTGGTTTATGATATCCAGTATAGTAGCCAGAATCTTGTTGTGTATGTCCAGATGTTAGTTCCATATACTGTGGTGGATATGAGCTTGTATCTGCTCGTGAATGACTTCCATCTCCTGGATATCTCCCATTTGTTACTGGAACAGTGGAACTGCCCCTGTTCTCTGCAACATGATCAGAGTATGCAGTTCTGAAGTTTGGCGTATCACTCATAGACATTCTTCCATCACCCACTGCACCATTACGCCCAGATCTGCCATTAAAACCAGTATAGGCGTTCAATGCTCCATATGCCTGATTTTGATCCCTTGAAGAAGGGCTGGTGTCTGGACTTCCACGCTGCCAATCTGGGCTAACAGCACCGAAACTGGAGCGTCGTTTTCTTGCATAGTATGCTGATTCTAATAGCACCTGGTTGACATCTTGTTTCGTATCCACAGACGCTGTCTCGCTCCAACAATCGCCATTCCTGTCTAGTGGGTATCCATTCTGGCCATTCCGGGAATACTGTGATTTGGATTCATCAACATGCTCCTGAGGTGGTCTGGAATACGAAAATCCTGAGTCTCTTGGTGTCTCATGGTATCTACTGTCATAAGAATCTTGAGTATCTTGACTTCTAGGCGTGTCTATATAGCTATACTGACTTCTAGGTGAGGTGTCGTAATGATTGCTGTTTGTGTCGGCATATTCATCTTCGTAACCGTATTTATGTTTAGCAGTTTCTCCATAAGCATAACTGAATCGACTCCTCGCAGGTAAATGCATCAATTTGTGTTGGCCTGGAATGTAATATAATTCTGACAGATCTTCCTTGCTTGATACACTGGATGGCTGGTATCCATAGTAACGGTTGTCATGTCTAGCATCTTGTACATCAGCAGCTGAGTGATAGGAAGGAGCTGGTGGGAGATGGAGAAGTGGTTGTCAACTGATGGTGTGTGAACTAAACGAATAATCAGTATGACAAATGCATCAGTAGTAAAAAAAATATTATGTTTTCTAATGCGAGATAGAGCTCATTACATTTTATTCTCTTATTCAGTTTATGAATCACTAGATCAAAATCAAATGGCGCTAAAAAAATATTTAGAGCTTGCGAGTCACAAGGATTATTTTTCCCCCTTCTCTTCTATTAGGAAATCTTTAAATATTCCAGCTGTAAAAATTAAACAGTTATTAGTAATGATTTGACTACTTTGAACTATCATTACCTGTATATGATTGATTTCTATTCAAATCCGAGAGATGCAATGATGATGTGCTATCATATTGGTATCTTGCCATATCTGTCGCCCTCTCAACATCAGTTCCCTGAGAACTGTGCTCAGCGTCCAACAAAGGCTCTACTAACCACTCTCCCGCATCTCTGTGAATGTTCTATGAAACAAAAAATACAAAAAAAAAAACACATTAAGCTTCAGAATGCCATATTTTTTTTCTATTTTTTAGACTAAATAAACTAAATTTCCATTTGGCCACAGGTATTGATCAAAATTTGTGAATAAACATTGACAAAAAATGTATGTATCACGTATTTGATTAACATTTTTACTACCAGTTCCCTTTTTTCATCACAAATTCATAAAATAGACTGTTTATAGTCTGCATTTTCCTTCAGAAGATTGTGAAAAAAAGCCAAATTTGTTTGAGTAAAAACTGAAAATTTACTAAAATTTTGTCTGTTTGCTCCAAAATTAAGCTTCATTGCCAGAAATATTGAAGAATATAGAAAAAAAAAGAGCAAAAAAAATGGAGAAAGTCTGGTGGCGAAAAGGTTAAAGCTTTGCACCATGTTTGAAATAGGTTCCATGTGACTCGTAGAAATTTGAAAATATGTTGTACAACACATGGCATTATAAAGCATTGCATTCATTATACAAACAATGTTTTTATTAATATGAATAAAATACACTAGAAACCCACTAGAAACCCACTACACCAATACTGATACATACATCTAAAAGTATTCTGAAACTTTTTCAATAAAAAATTATCAGAACTAACACAAATACTAATCAAGACATGTACAATATGAGGTTTTAATTTTTTTGATAATACAATTATGCATAAATGATAAACAAAAAACTATTTTCTTTTTGCAAATTAATGAAATACACAGGCAAAGGAGAAATTATTGTAAACAAAATTTTTTCCACAAAGTTCAATATCCAGAAAAAGCAGGGATTTTATTGGCAGAGAGCAAAAATTTTTTTCAGCTTGTTTCACCGCCTCCTTTACATGTACATGCCAAATTTGCATCCACATTAGGGGAGGGAGGGAGGGGAGGGTCTTAGCATCTGTGATAGTAATGATCACTGTAAAGGTATCACACACTGTAGCAGTAAGCTGACACAGTCGCAGAGCCAATGCCTTACTAGGTATATTTGAACACAGTAGACTAAGGCTTGTATGTTACGAATAATGTACCTACATGAATGTATAGTGACTGCATTCAATTCTGAAAACTATTGGTACAATTCTATTCCATTGAGACACTACATGAATGATCATTGTAAGTATGTGATAAAAGCAAGAGTTTCTAAGTGACATTCTTTCACACCCTAACACATAGCGGGGTACTATAAGAAAAAAAACTTCCGCTGTTTGGTTTGTTATTTAGACAAGGTAGACACTCTTATTTAGATACGTTACATAATGCTTTTGTAAGTTGAATACAACCATATTGATGCTCAGATACAGCTGTGCAATGGGTGAAGGACGCAGATGGAAACAAAATTTACCGACTGATTCTTCACAATAATTATAAAATACGATGACTGAAATTCAACACAACAGATCCTGGTAATCAACTTGGACTTCAAAGATTGTTCTTAGTACATACAGAAATTAAGACTTGAATCACACATTTTTAAATAAAGGGCAGCAGTCGTCATGCCGTGTCCTGTTCAATATGAGACTCATAGCGACGTATACAACACGTGTAAAATACATTGTTTATTTACATGAAACTCGAACACACGCTGCAAGACGACCACCGTGCTTTAAAATCAACTGATCTTGATTCAGAGCGAGGAAGTCTGATCATAAACTTGGGCCGGCTGGACTGACCTACATGATATACAGAGATCAAGACTTGACGTACAGATTCAATCAATATATAGCATCGCTGTAAGCGTCGAAAGCCTTTTCATAGCGGACTTTTTTTTAAAGCTTTATTGATTCTTCGCGAATGAGAAAACTTGTTGTAATATAATTAAACTACCTAATAAATAAATTACTTTTTGAGAGTCACGATCAACTTTGACAACAATGCACTTGGGTATAATGGCCGCACACAATAGAGAGAAAGCAACAGTATCCCCACATGGTAATATACAAATGCATTGTTGAAGTTCAATGAAACTAGGCTTCAACTTTACAGGTTTAGTATTCTCTTTTTAATATTTTTTTTTTTGTAGCAATCTCATCTACTACCGTACTTTTGTTTTCATACATTTGCATTAGAAACATTCGGGGAAATTTTCTTCCGTTTCCATGCAATATAGAGCTGTGTTTTGATCGCAAGTCAACTTTATCACATAATAGTCAATATATTTTTTTTTATGTGGGCAACGAAAAACCATATCAACTTTGCTTAAAAATATCAAATAAATTAAATAAGAATACAAGTCCTATATATTCAATATGTTGTAGACAAAAATTTGGGCAAGGAACACAAGGTTCAAAAGATAACATTTCACATCAGAGAAAAAAAGTTTAACAATGAATTTTTGTTTTCATAACAAAAGGAGAAGGTCATAAACTGAATATTATTGACTAGTGCGGAATGGTTTCTGTTCGAATGTGACAGTATTTATTGTCAGTGTGCTAGTATAGCAACAACAAAACTGACACCAAGGACGCTAACTCGCCTTGGCAGGAGGGGAGGTAGGTAACAATACTCACAGCGAGGAAGCTATGATCAATTATCATAAATAACAACACAATAACAATAGAAGATGAAACAATCATTGAAATTAACAATAGGAAACCAATGAAAATTTTAAGCACAATAAATTAACCTTTAAATTCTCAGCTAAAGTGTTGTTATTTCACAAGTTTGGTTCCTTTTTAGATAACACGGTAAGCCATGAATTACCATCTGAGTCTTGCATCACCACACACTGAATTTGGCAGGAGATAAAAGTAGGCAATGCCAGTAAATACAAAATATAAGTGATCATAATACTAATTCACCATGACAACACGAGTCTTTAAACAAATTTGATAGGATTGCTTGCATCTGAGTAGTGCTGGATTTCTAAACTATTTATTTTTTCAGGTTTGTACCAGTTTGCACACCTTGAGTCATCGGGTAATGTCATTAACAATTTTGTTCTCTATACATGCTAAAATAAACAGTTAAGCTGACCCAGGCCAAAATATAAAATTAAGTTAAAAGTATAGTTCCTAAAAATTGAACAATACTTAAAAACATGAAGGTCGAGAATAATTTTAGTAGAACGAAGGCGTTGGAATCACAAATCTATGTTGGGCAGTAGGTCACATACACTCATTTTTACCTCAAAGCATACACGTATCAAGTCAAAAACTAAACAAATTGAACTTCTATCTCCAGTAGCCAGCAAAATGCTGACACACTTATTAAACCCTGTATCACCAAGTGCTGCCAAAGTAGCTTCCCTTCAAATGAATTATTCGTTCGCTTGGGGTTATAAAAATCTACTAAAGATTTATGACCAAGCCTTAGCAATGCTTTATTCCACAAATCAACAAATCAGGGAGAAAACAAATCTTGCATTAACCTAAGTTTTGCATATTTTCATGTTTACCTAATAAAGCACATGTCAATTTAGTAGATTTTTATGAAGGGACGTACCAATAAAGATATTGAGGGAGATGGAGAAAATATTTTCATAAAAGAAAATACATCTTATCCACCACAAGGGGAAGTACAAATTCTGATTAAGACATGATGTTTTCCTAATCGTCCACTAAACACTGTATCAGGTTGGCAACCTGAAAGTAAAATTAAGCTAGACTGGTCCATGTACAAGTCACAGCAAGTACCTACCGTGCATAGGGTAAATCAGATATCAAACTTCCAGTATCAATGACGCATTTCAAATATTACTCACACATGCACACAGAAAATAAAAATTCAGCAGTTACAGCATAAACTGTATAAATCCAGATACAACACCACCGAGCGGTGCTGTGCAATTTACAGTAGCAGGAGACCAGCAGACCAGTAGCTGCACGCTACCTAATGATTATAAGTCAGCTAGAGGGTGGGCTCACGGTAATTTGCCCCTACCCACTTGACACACAATTGATAATCTGCATGAAAATAGACTGTTTGTCTGCTTGGTTGAATACAGATCAATGTTACCAAAACACAATAACATACCTCAAGCGATGTCATTCAAAGCTGCAGTTTCATTCATGTTTGACTACAACTCGCTGTTTAAACCAACAATAGATAAGTTCAGAGCGTCCAGCAATTCAAACTTTTGCACGGACAACTTTAATAAGCTTGCTTATTCCAAAAACCAAATTTGACAATATAGAAGTTCCATCGCTTCCAGCAAAACATATAGCGTCACCTGAAATGTCTTTAACCTTGTTCTATGAAAGAGACTAACTTGACAATAGATAATTTTTCTGCTTCAATCATTGTATTATGATGTTGATCGAATGTACAAGTCGGGTAACTTTAATCTTTTTCTTTAATTCTATTGCTTGACAGATTTAAGCGCAATTATCAACTTTTGGCACCATCTACAAAACCATTTCTATACAGTCTGCTTCACTTCACATGAAATGTTGATAAAAATTGATAAACCTTTTGATCAAAAACTACAAACAATATGAGATACTGTCTGTATAGGCCAAAATGACAATTTTACAAAACATGAAAATATTTGCACCAAATTTTGGACGGGAAAAATATCTGGCACTAAAATGGCTGAACAAATTTGTATGCCAATTTTGCCTATACCAAACAACTGAAAGTACAGAATTAAATTTCTATATGAGAATCAATGTAGTGTACTTATTTAAAGTTATTTTTATTATTGTTCATTTATTCACCATTTGCTTCATGTGTATATTTTGGTTTCTTAAATTTGTACAAGCACATTGGGTTAGACAGCTTGGTCAGTTAAATACAGGAATACCACTACATGCACTTTAATATTAATATGTAATATTTGTAAATTTATTCTTCAATACAAAAATTGCTTACTGTAGAGTACCAATGAATGGTCAAGTGTTTTAGTGCACTCAAAAATACGGGGGCAACAAAAATAGCAGTGATTGTTCACTATCGATAACAAAACTGCACTCCAATGTTTGAGAGATGTACATTGTACCTGTGGACGAGTGAGACACAATACCATGTGTGTTGGCCATCA